AAGTCATGTCGGAAAATAGTGGCAACGTCGAGAGGAAACAACAAATCTACACAGTCACATGGAGCGGAACCACAAAAACCTATAGGATGTCTTCAAGTCTAAAACTCCCAAAACTACTAACGTGAGGGCAAGTTACAAAAAAACCGATCCACAGACAACCATTAATGAACGTTTTGCCAGTGTCACTCCTTACGAAAAAACGTCGAAGCGCCACAAAGCTATTACCGCAGCTGTTGCACGTTATGTAGCCAAATGCATGATCCCAGTTAGTACCGTGGGCAAAGGGGGCTTTTTGGATCTAATGAAGGAAGTGGACCGGAGATACCAAGTGCCATCGCGCAATTACTTCTCCCAAGTCGCCATTCCACAAATGTACGAGGTATGTGTAGTGACTGTAAAGGCTGAGCTGCAGCAAGTGGACTTTTACGCTAGCACCACGGACCTGTGGTCCAGTCGCACCACCGAACCCTACATGAGCTTTACTGTTCACTTTATCAACAAAGACTTTGAACTAACAACACGCTGCCTGGAAGTTGCATATTTCCCTGAATCCCACACCAGTGAAAACATAGCCACTGCTCTGCAGGATGTTTTAGCAAACTGGGGCTTGAAAGAAGAGAAACAAGTGTCTATTACAACAGACAACGGCGCTAATGTAGTAAAAGCTACCGAACTCAACAAGTGGGTCATACTACAGTGCTTTGGCCACCGCTTGCCTCTGGCCATTGGTGAGTGTTTATGGTTTATATTTTGTTTAAAAATGCACATTTTTAACATGAGATCTGTAAATTTAACAATGTGTGATTTGAAATAATTTGGTGACTATGAAGCTCTTAATTGTTTTGTTTCATTAGAGTGACAGTTGAAATAGTGATTTAATTTAATAATGCAGTGTTATTTCAGCCTAAATTATACAATTGTTTTTCTTTTGTTTTCTTCCTCTACAGAGAATGCTGTTAAAGGTGATGAGCGCATTACTCGAGCTGTAGGTCTTTGCAAGAAGTTAGTGGGACATTTCTCCCACAGCTGGAAGGAGAAGATGGCACTGAAAAAGGCACAGCAAGATCACCACCTCCCAGAGCACGCACTCATCACAGAATGTCCTACTAGATGGGGATCCAGGCAACACATGATTCAGAGAGTTCTTGAGCAGCAGAAGGCCATATGTGAAGTTTTATCAGCAGACAGAAAGTCAAGACATTTAGTTCCCACTTGGCAAGACCTAGATGTTCTGGAGTCCATTAACCAGGCACTGCAGCCTCTACAAGAGTTCACAGATGCCCTTTCTGCTGAAAGAGATGTGTGTTTTTCATGTGTCAAACCGGTCCTACACGTGATGAACACCTCTCTTCTTGCTGCAAAGGACGAAGACAGTGACTTAACAAAGTGCATAAAGAAAAAGATCCTGGACTACATGAACACAAAGTATGACAACCCAGCTACTCAAGAACTTCTGGACATGGTATCCTTTGTGGATCCCAGATTCAAAGCTGGCTACATCAGCAGTGACAAGGTCCTCAACATCAAAGCAAGAGTGATGTCTGAAATTGAAGCACCTATGCCAAAGGTAAATGTTAATTTGTGTTTAAGTAAAAATTCTAATTTCTAACTACATTTTACTTACAGAATTTTCATATTCTAGGAGCAAAACACAGGCAATCAAGATGACGGCATGGATCCATCAGAAGCAATCCAAAAGAAGGCCAAAAAATCCTTAGGCAGTTTCTTCAAAACATCCCCAGCTCCTTCATCTGTGGTACCATCACACTCCGTAGAGGCAGAGCTCAACAGCTACCTGGTATCTCCCACAGTAGACACTGAGGAGAACCCTCTCACTTGGTGGCAACTCCATCAGGTCAACTTCCCACACCTGAGCAAACTAGCTAGAAAGTACCTCTGTATACCTGCAAGCAGCTCACCTTCAGAGAGACTTTTTAGTGCACCAGGAAATGTTACATGCCAACGCACTTGTTTAAAACCTACCAAAGTCAACATGCTCGTTTTTCTGGCAAAAAACTTAAA